CTGTGTTATTTATTTCAGGAATAATCTTAATAACCATGGTAATGAACAGAATTGTGGTTCTGGTGCCCATGGAGTAACCGCACCCAAAGCCTTAGAATATAAAATAACTAGCTGCTTTCATTCAACAATAACTGAGTCCCTATTTATGCTGTGAAGGCGCTTCGGCGGCCAAGTGGGTACAGCATTTGGCTGCTAACCAAAAGGTCTGCAGTTCAAACCCACTGGCTGCTGCATGGGAGAAAGAGGAGACAGTCTGCTTCCATAAAAATATACAGCCTTGGAAACCCTATGGAGCAGTTCTACTCTGTCTTACAGTGTCACTATGAGTCCGAATGGACTCAATGGCAGTAGGTTTAGTTTTGTTTGTTTATGGTTGCACTGTGTTAAATACTGAAAAATTGAACATTACCACGGAACTCCTTGTACTTAGTTTAGTTCATTCACTGGGTCCCAATGAAGTACCAGAAGCCAGTAGTACAAAGAGGAATGACACAGTCCTTGCCGTAAGGAAGTTGACAGTTCAGAAAAGAAGAGACGTCAGTCCAAATATATCATCAGTGATTGAGTACAATTAGTTCTGGGTTCAGTGGCAAGGAGTGGTCAGTTCTGCCTTTAGTTGAGGGAAGAGAGGTAGGAGTCAGAGGATAGCAAAAAACCTCATAAGGCTATAAGCTGAGTCTTAAAAGTTGATTAGATGTCTGACTGGACATCAGGGATTGGTGCATGTTCTGAGGAAGCAAACACATGTTCGGGCTATCGCAGTTTAGTTTATCTGGAGAACAGTGTGCAGCGTGCAGCAATGCTTAGCATTGTATATTTTTAGACTAAATGAATGAGGCAGAGGGAACTTCTTTGAGGCCCTTAAACTGCATGTTGAGCAAGTATGCAGGTATGCATATATGAAGGGTAAAGTGGGATAAGGAGTAAGCAAAACCAAAAAACCAAACTCACTGCCATCGAATCATTTCTGACTCCTAGCGACCCCCATTGGGTTTCTGAGGCTATAAATCTTTATGGAAGTAGATATCCCAGTCTTCCTTCCATGGAGCAGCTGGTGGGTTTGAACCACTGTCCTTCCAGTTAGCAGTCAAGTGCCTTAGGGTTTTATGTAATGTTGTTTTTGTTAGTTATGTAGTGCCATAAATTGGTTTGTATTTTGAAAAAAATATCCCAGAGGAAACTTTCATGTGAACTGGAGTTAGTGAGGAGAACAGATCTCAACTGCCATGTCCTGTCACTGACATTCCTTGAAACTTGTTGCTGGATTTAATTTTCCTATTCTTTTAAAGGGAGCTCTGGTAGCATAGTGGGTAAGGCACTTGACTGCTAACCAGCCGGCTGGTGTTTGAACCCCACCAGCCACTCCTGGGAAGGAAGATGAGGCAATCTACTTCCGTAGTGATACTGCCTCAGAAACCCAAGGAGGGCTCTCTATGAGTCAGGTCCGACTCAACGGCACATAATAACAACAACATTGTTTTTAAAGGAGCTCTGGTAGCATAGTGGCTAAGGCACTTGACTGCTAACCAGAAGGCTGGCGGTTCAAACTCACCAGCCACTCCTCGAAAGGAAAGTTGGGCAATCTACTTCTGTAGTAGACTGGGCAGTGTTTGAGTGTAATGAGTATTCACACTGGCAGCTAGGCTCTGCCCAAACATCTGAGTGGTGTTCTTCTCAAAGATACTGAATGATGTTTCAGTCACATACAATTTGTCATAGTGACCCAAGGAGGGGTCACTATGATTCGGGTCCAACTCGATGGCAAATAACAATTGTTTTAAAGAACTTTTATCTTTTAATAGGTGAGTTTGGTCTACAATTTATTTATTTGTCTTATTTTGCTCTTACTCAGTTTTGATAGCAAGACAATATTAGCCAGAGATAAGTTAACAGTTTTTATTCTCTTTCTAGTGTCTGGAATGGTTATGTAAGAGATGTTTCTATCTGCTTCTTGGAGATTTGGTTTAGATCACCTAGAAAACTATCCCAGCTTGGAGTCTTTAATTTTGAGATGAGGGAAGATTTTTGCCTGCTGATTTACTTGATAGTAGTTTATTCAGATATTCTGTTTTATTCCTTACCTCAATTTTATAATTTATACATTTCTATACCATTATCTGGGAACTCTGGTGGCCTAATGCCTAAGGCATTTGACTGCTAACCAGAAGGCTGATGATTCAAACCCACCAGCCACTCCTCGGAAGGAAGATTGGGCAATCTACTTGTGTAGTGATACTGCCTCAGAAACGCAAGGAGGGGTCGCTATGAGTCAGGTCCGACTCTACGGCACATAACAACAACATGTATAGCATTATCCAAATTGTGGGAAATCTGTTTATTTTCAAAGTTATCTGCATCAGAGCCAAAGGAATCAAGAGGGAGATGGATATGTTCCCTATCTTGCTGGTGAAGTTGATTTCACAATGTACATATCTACCAAAACTTATCAAATTATTTACTGAGGCAGTAACTAAAGATTGGTTATGAAGATGATTAAAATTTATCTGCATAAAATTATTCAGAGCATTTTTTAAAAATTCTCTTCTAACATATGTTTGTATATGTTCCCTTTTTTGTTCTTAATGTTTATTTGGGTATTCTCTTTTTTATTCTTTATGAATTTTGTTAAAACCGCTAGCTCTCCTGGAAGAATGCTTAACATCCTCACTTTCTTGATCTTCCTGCCACAAGTATCTTACAGTATCCCTGCCACCATCAGCACCTCCACCATATTGTTGCAGGAAAATGTTGTAAACATATGAAAGGACAGATGACTAGAGGAGTTTACACTTGGGATGGAGGAGAAACTTACAGGGGATGCAATTTCTTGTTTTAAGTACCCTGTGCAGTGAGCAAATTAGACCCAGTGGCACAGTTTTCTCTGTACAAATTGTATGTGACTGAAACATCATTCAGTATCTTTGAGAAGAACTCCACGCAGATGTTTGGGCAGAGCCTAGCTGCCAGTTGCACACTCATTACCGTTTAGGAACCAGGTTCTAGCACTTTTGCATCAAGGGCCATAGTGTTGGCTCTTGATAATGTGACCCTCCTTTAACTGGCAAACTGACAAAAATGAAGAGCAGAATCTAAAAATAATACAGCATCAGTTACCTGCTAAATAGTTAATATATTACTATTTTGGAATACATGTGTTTGTTTATCCAACTAAATATATGTATGGGTTACTTAAAGCAATTTGTTTCCCTTAAAAAAAGAAAAGGAGAAAACCTAGTCCTCTGGATTTGCAGGAGCTAACTATACTTCATAGCTTAATGTAAAAACTTGATTGCTTTTAATTTTTCTTGTAGTCATAAATGCATTCTAGAAGAAAATATAGCACGTAAGATGGACTATTAGTAATGTTGTTGTTAGGTCCCGTCAAGTCAGTCTGATTCATAGTTGACCCTTTGTACAACAGAAGGAAACACTGCCCAGTCCTGCACTATCTGCACACTCCTTGCTATGTTTGAGCCAATTGTTGTAGCCACCTGTGGCAATCCATCTCCTTGAGGGCTTTCTCTTTTTCACTGACCCTGTACTAGTTCCTTCTGATAATATATCCAAAATATGCGAGACAAAGTCTCATCATCCTTGCTTCTAAGAAGCATTCTGTCTTCACTTCTTCAGAGACAGATTTGTTCATTCTTCTGGAAATCCATGTTGTTGTTGTTGTTGTTATGTGCCGTCGAGTCAAACCCAACTCATAGCAACCCCTCCTTGGGTTTCCGAGGCAGTGTTACTACGGAAGTAGGATTGCCCAGCCTTCCTTCCGAGGAGTGGCTGGTGGGTTTGAACCACCAGCCGTCTGGTTAGCAGGCAAGTGTCTTAGCCACTATGCTACCAGAGCTCCCCTGGCAATCCATAGTATATTCAATATTCTTGGTCAACACTGCAATTCAAAGGCATCAATTCTTCTTTGGTTTTCCTTATTCATTGTCCAGCTTTTGCATGCATATGAGGTGATTGAAAATATCATGGCTTAGGCCAGGCTTAGTCTTCAAAGGGACATCTTTGCTTTTTAACATTTTAAAGATGTCTTTTGCTGCACATTTGCCCATGCAGTATGACATCTGATTTCTTGACAGCTGCCTCTGTGGGCATTGATTGTGGAATGGAGTAAAATGAAATCCTTGACAACTTCAATCTTTTCTCCTTTTATCATGATGTTGCTTATTGGTCCAGTTGTGGGGATTTTTGTTTTCTTCACGTTGAGTTGCATTCCATACTGAAGGTTGTAGTCTCTGATCTCCATCAGTAAGCGCTTGAAGTGCTCTTCACTTTCAGCAAGCAAAGTTGTGTCATGTGCATATTGCAGGTTGTTAATGAGTCTTCCTCTAATCCTGAAGCTCTTCATATAGTCCAGCTTCTTGGGCTGTTTGTTTAACATAGAGATTGGTAAGTATGGTGAAAGGATACAACTGTTACACATACCTTTTCTGATTTTAAACTACGCAGTATCCTCTTGTTCAGTTTGAACGACTGCATCTTGATCTATGTACAGTTCTGCATGGGCACAATTAAGTGTTCAGGAACTCCCATTCTTAGAAATTAGATACTTTCAAATAAGAAAATCATTACTTCATAATTTACTAACAACTGGATTTTGTTTTATGTTTTCATTTTATTTTCTTAGATTTTAAATTAGAGAGCAATATATAAAACCTTTTAATCTTCAGTTATGGGTTAACTTGAAGTCATCATAAATAGAGATACATTTGCTATTTTTCTGGCAATATAATAAATAAAGAATGGAAAAAATGCCTGAATAAAATTGAAGGGAAAGATTATCAAGAGAATATAAAATGAGATAAATTAGAAACCAGGCCTTCAACTGTTCCTTCATATCCTAAATGTGATCTTATTATTCTTAAATATTATGATTGTTATGTATTATATCAGTATCTTATCTCACTTACATCTCACAAACCCATTTAACAAATGGGTAGAAGGCTCCCCTACCTGATACTTAAGCAATGCTTCTAATTCTCTTTTGGCAGATAAGAAAGAGCTTTTCCTTTCCAAAGCAATTCACAAGTCCTTCATAGAGGTTAATGAGGAAGGCTCAGAAGCTGCTGCTGCCTCAGGTACCAAGTTGTTTTTTTTTTTTAAATAAATCTTCTCACCTTTTCTATATTTGTATTTTTTAAAAGCAGTCTGGAGTGGGGGTGAAAGGGTCATTTTCAGAACCAAGCCAGAAAAGTGACTGTGCTGTCACTCAGAAGTCAAACTAATGCTGTAGCAACTAGAATTTTCTAAATAGGATGTGAAGCCTGCTCTGGCACTAATGCCCTGGTACAGTGTAACTCCTGCCTCTGGTTTTCTCTCTAATGAGAGGCAGGAGGATGGCAGTTCTATGAGAATAAAATTTCCTGCTCTGCTGCTTGTTTAAATATTTCCCTGCTGCCTGTTTGAATATTTTTCTTTCTAATTACTTGTAGAAGTTGGTTGTTAATACTGTATGTGAAGAGTTCCTTTTTTAAGAAAAGTACATATATAAACAAGTATATGTGATAAAATGTAACAAATAATTAAAAAAAAAAACACACACATTTTGATGTAAAGCATGTGTCCAAAGCACAATGACAAATGTCCTTCATTGTGATAGTTCATTTTAACTTCCCAAGATAACTGCAAATGATTTTCCCTTTCTGCTTTTATTTTTGGACTCCTCCCGCCCCCAACCCCTGTATTCAAGGGAGCTCGGGTGGCATAGTGCCTAAGGCATTTGACTGCTAACC